TTGACAGTATAGTGTCCCCATCACTACGCTGGGGCATTAGGACTTAACACAGACTGCAGGGTGAGCACTCCCTGCTAGCCTCACTAACACCTCTTCCAGCAGCAACCTAGTTTTCCCAGGAGGTCTCCCATCCAGGTACTGACCAGGTTCAACCCTGCTTAGTTTCAGTGGGCAACCAGTCGTGGGCTGCATGATGATATGGCTGTGGCGATAATGTGGTAACAATAATTATTTATAATTACTAACCTTACATCACTACAGTAATTCAACTCATAACAGAAAACAAAACTCCTAATTCTGAGTAAATGTTGTTAGTATTGCTTAGTTTCGGCTAGGGCCTGTGATTTTGAACGAGATTTTGTGTAGCTTGTCAGTGAACTACGGCTCTGTGTAGTAAATGGCGCTCCATCTGAAAGCACGTGCTGGAGATTTACTACTAATCACAGGAGCGGCTTTACTGACGAGATGCACATGAAAATCGCATTCGATTTTTTGCACAGCCCTAGTTTCGGCATGACAAATCACACATTATTACTGACAAAAATGTATTGATCTTGCACAGCAATAACACAACACAACACTTTAACAGTACATTCAATATTTTGAGGTTGAGTGTCAGGCAAATTAGCTGATATTTTGAAAGAAAGATGTACATATGATACACATGACAATACATGATAGTTACTAGAAAGTGGTTAATTCAGTAGGCCTACCTGAGCGAGACATTAGCTATCAACAGTGTTATTGCATCCTCTAGGACAGGGGTTTTCAAACTGTGGATCGCAGAGTGGAACAAGGTGGGTCGCACAAAGTCACTTGGCTGCAGCTAAATTTGCGTTTCAATGACACACACACAGTTCAGTCTAGGGCTGCACGATATAACCTACCAACATTAATTACGAATTGCAATATCCTTAGTGCGATTTTTGAATCGCAATTAAGTCCGCGATTTAAAACATGCGTTGCGTGTTTTGAAGCGCAGGCGCGCATGAGTTGTAATAACAGTGAGGGTCTCAGAGCAATGTCATTATTAAAAGGCTCAATCGGTCCACATTATTAATGAGAAAAAACTCGCTCACTTCAATGCGCTGTATTCTGTATGAGATTGCATACAGCGGAAAATTCAAATGTTACGAAAACGGTTTCAGGTAGGCTATGTTCATTCATTTCTATCGTCACAATATTTCCTTGACATATCATCTCTATATAGAGAAAAAATGTGCCAAAGTTCAAAAATCTTTTGAAGATATTGCTGAACCTTTATTTAACCATTGCAAAAGTAAATTTCTGACTGAAGTAAATTTGTCATCTCGGTTTTTAGTGTTTATTTAAAATGAGGCACATCTGTTTATTATTTTTTAACTTTTTCACAATTATTTTAATCTCAAAACTGTTTTAGATAGTTCTGCTTTGCTTCTTATACTTTGCTAAAAAAGTGTTGGGTTGTGCTATGCTCTCCCCTACACACTGAAAGACCATGAATGCATTTTCTGCGCTGAACCCCGCGATGAGTTTTACAATACTTGCAGCGCAGAACTTACAGCTCACTGGAGTGAGCCTGTTTCACGAAAAAAATGCAGCCACTTTAATTGTGCTGACAACTTTCTCGCGAGATCCCATCCCCCCACCACCTCTCCCTCTCTCTTGTTCGAGATGCTTCGGCACTTCACAGAACGATCGGCGTATGACATCAAACTACCGCGAGACGCAGCCCCTCCTCGATCTGCATGGGACAGATCCCGCGTGATTTCATTCAGCATTTCCCATCCCCCACCCGGCATGCGCTGAATCACGCCGGCGCAATTATTCACTGACCGCTTTGCTGTAATTTTCGGGAGGAGAGGAGACGTTTGCCATCAGTGTATCCAAGGTAAGAATTACAATTTTAAAACTTAAAATGTTGAGCATGTAAATACATTGTTTACAAACCATAATGTTAACCGAAACATAGTTTGGCTTTTTGTCACGTTAAAATTTAGACATCATACACAGCTCGCGCCATATTTTCCTCTTATTTCTGGCGCCAATGTCTAAACGATAATGCTGTATGTCTTTGTGTTCCCTACGCCCTCTAAAAGTTAAAGACACTAAAAAAGCTCATACTTAAACTGCAAAGTTTGGCACCGGGCTGTGTGCTCACGATACAGGAAGATTACAACGATGAGGTCAAATGGCTTATATAGCAGAGAAGCTAGTGTAAGCTAATCTAGTGTAAATAAGGTAGCCTGGGACAGATGTCGATTTGAAGAGTAAACAATAAGGCTGTTGTACTTTTAACAATACATAAAATACAATAATATTACAACAATACTTAATATTTATCATGCAAAGAGTTTCTGCCTTATATAAATCTGCATCAGTTTGTATTTGGGTGTTATTATAAATCATACAAATTGTTATGACTATATAAATGTTTTTGCTTAAATTAGAATTTAAATTTTTTTAATTAATAAGCATTTTTTTCTTACAGAAAGTAATTGGACGGTCTCGGATGTTGATGCAATGGAGCAGCAATTGGCAGACCCTACCTTCCAGAAACAAGTGGTATGTTCTAACATGACCATTTAGCTGAACATTAAAATTTTACAGTTGTACTCTAAAATAAAATGGTTATTTTTTCTTAAATACTTAATTTCTGTCATATTAAACTTTTAATTAAGATTAGGCTTAAAGTAATGTCAGTTGTATTTCTGATCTCAAATATTTTGGTGGGTCGTGAAATAGATTATACTTGTCTAGGTGGGTCGTGGAATGGAAAAGTTTGGGAACCCCTGCTCTAGGACATACGCTGTCCTATAGCCATTCGGAAGCCATAGCCTTGTGGGCCACCTTAGGTGAACCAAGTTCGAGTCCTGACTCAAGGTCCTTTGTCAGAGTTAAGAGTTAGAGTTATACTTTATTGTCCTTTGCAGGAAATTTGTCTTGGACTCAAAGCTGCAGCAATAGACAACAACAACAACACTTTGTTAGTTAAAATGCCATCACAATTACTGCAATTTACTATTTAAAATCCTAATAGATACAGGTATAAAAGAATTCTTATAGCGATGACTTCTACATAATGGAACTCTATATAACATACTGGAAGATGCCTGGTAAGAATGACTCAAGTTTACACTGGTTAAAGTCACTCATGATAAGAACTGGCGCACCCGGGGTTCGCTGTAGTTGTTTTTGAATACAGTCTGATATGCATGAGGCAGCCCTGGATGCATTGCCGCTACACACAATAAAATACTGCCGAACTCTCTCGGGAGATAAAAAGGTCTTAAACTTAGGCAGAGGTATTCCGCGTCAGGATTACAACAAGTCTCTTTCACTGAGTACTGTGTGCACCATTTGTTACTCATGTACCCACAGACGCCTCCTCCTCTGTCTTTTCCCGAGGATTCCTCTCTGTCCTCCCGCCCAGATTAAAGAAAAACCTTCTATCTCCACAAGTGAACTAGGAATGTCCTTATGAAGCCAGGTCTCTGTGAACGCCAATAAACTTGAGTCCCGATACTCAAAGCACGACCTGGTGTTAATACGAAGTTCGTCCATCTTAGTTCTAAGTGATCTCACGTTTCCAAGAATAATGGAAGAAAAGGGGGCCTACTGGACCTCCGTCTGAGCCGATGTAAAACTCCCCCACGTCGACCTCTTCTCCGGTGTTGCCGCTGTTGATCTGAATTCTGTTTCAGCTCCTTTGGCAAAACCACCATAGGATTTAGATTAACAGATCAAGATGAAAGCAGGAACAGGGCTTCTCTTGTGTATGAAATGAGTGTTTGGGTCTCCCCGCACATAGTTGATAAAAGCCATGCCGATAAAAATTTCCAAATAATAAATATCCAAACGATAATCTGTGCAAATGTCGCCATTGAGTGGCTCGCTGGCGTGCCACCATCCAAAGTAAGAATAAATAATTAACAAACAAACAAAATAAAACCCCGTAGACACTTGCAGCCAATAAGTCCGAGTCGCAACCGTGCAGCGTCACGGGAAGAGTTGTTAATCCTGTTCCCCTCTCTCTCACCATTGCTTCCTTTCGCATCCATACTATCCTATCCAATGAAAGGCATAGAAGCCCAAAATTATAACTACTGACTATTAAAATCTGCACAATGCATTTCAAAAAGGTAAAATGTGTTCTGAGAGTACTACACTCTTACTGATAGCTAAATGCACAACAAGATTAGCCATACTCAACATCTAAGCATGTATACAAGCTGTAGTTTGGCCAAGGCATCCAGTTCAAAACTTATTTTAGTTAGACTTAAACACAACCCTCTCTCAAACACAACACAGGTTTAAAAAGCTTAGACAGTATGCTTTAAATGCAATTATCCCATTAGTTTATTATGTTTTACTGGAGCGGTGCTCACTGCCAGATGTCTTTAAATGTGTAAGTGTCCACGCAAATGAGCCTGACCCATTTTCATACTCCAGTTTATTGAGTCTGCTGAAAGCTCAACCTTATGACACTCCTCCACTGTGTATAGCTAGTGAATATTTAATCCACCTATGTGAACACTGGGTGGTTTCTGCTGTCATTTTAGCTTGCTGGACTTTGATTGCAGGGTTTGGATATGCACTGGCTACAGCTGTTAACAGCTCTGAGGGAGATTTGTGAAGACGAGTATACGGTCATCAATGAGTTTAGACGAGTATACTGTCATCTAACACACACACACACACACACAGACACACAGCTGTTCACTTAAGCTAACCCACAGTAATGGATGGTCGCACAAGTGGACATGCTGTTCCTGAATACACAGAGAGGTTTGTGTGAGTTCAAAAAAGAGAGTAGCATGACGTAACTAACATAAGGTATGTGGAACAGCAGTACTCAGCCCATATAAATTGTGTTGCTGAACAGCAGGCAACGAAAGTTTTATCATGTGACAAACATTCCTGCCTAATTTACCTAATTACATTTTTATCAATCCGGAATCCACTATTTTTCCCCATTCCATATGAAAGCGGAAAACTGAGCAGTATTAGTGTGGGATGAGCGTGTGTTCTCATAAATGAGACTCTCCAGCTGGACCGTTCCTCGCAGATGGAAAGCACACTAAACTCAGTAAGTGAAAACATTTCTTGTAATACAGCTCTGTGCCCCTCACCAGGGGTCAGTGGGGGTAGATACACACTATGTTATCTGATGTGATATGTTACACACCCTGAGGAACAATTCCACTCATTCTCTGCTATAGGACAGGAAGAATTGTATAAACTTGTCAAATCATCAAAACCTACAACATGTATGTTAGACCCTATTCCATCTAAGCTACGAAAAGAGGTGCTTCCAGAAGTCATAGATCCTCTTCTGAATATTATTAATTCATCAATGTCCTTAGGATATGTCCCTAAAACCTTCAAATTGGCTGTTATTAAGCCTCTCATTAAAAAAAACAGAATAACATTTCATAGACAATTGGAAGAGTTTTTGGGGGAAAAGTCAGTTAATTCTCAGCACATAGAGACTCCTACACCTCGATATGACAATCTACAAAAGTGGATGGAGACTGCTTTCATCAGTTACAAATGACCTGCTCTTATCATCCGATCGTGGTTGTATTTCTCTATTAGTGCTACTGGATCTTAGCGCTGCGTTTGACATTATCAACCACAACATCTTTTTGAGTAGACTAAAATTATGTTGGCATTAGTGGAATTGCATTGTCATGGTTCAAATCTTACTTATCTGACCATCATAAATTCGTAGCAGTAAATGACGAGATATCATATCGATCACAAGTACAGTATGGAGTGCCACATGCTTTTCACATTTTACATGTTGCCCTTGGGAAATATCATCAAGAAACATGGTGTTAGCTTTCACTGTTATGCTGATGATACTCAGCTCTATATTTCTTCGCAGCCCGGCGAAACATACCAATTTGAAAAACTAGCGGAATGCATAGATGCGTTCATGACCTCAAGGTTAGATTATTGTAATGCTTTATTGGGTGGTTGCTCTGCGCGCTTAATAAACAAACTCCAGCTGGTCCAAAATGCAGCAGCTAGAGTTCTTACTAGAACCAGGAAGTATGGCCATATTAGCCTGGTTCTGTCAACACTGTACTGGCTCCCTATTTAACATCGAATAAATTTTAAAATCTTGCTAATTACTTATAAAGCCCTGAATGGTTTAGCTCCTCAGTACTTGAGCGAGCTCATATCACATTATAGTCCTCCACGTCCGCTGCGTTCTCAAAACTCTGGCAATTTGATAATACCTAGAATATCAAAATCAACTGCGGGCAGCAGATCCTTTTCCTATTTAGCACCCAAACTCTGGAACAATCTACCTAGTGTTGTTCGGGAGGCAGACACACTCTGTCAGTTTAAATCTAGATTAAAGATCCATCTCTTTAACCTGGCATACAGATAACACACTATCACATTTCTATAATTCAAATCCGTTAAATGATTGTGAGGCTGTATTAATTAGATCAACCCGGAAGCGGGAACACTTCCCATAACATCCCAGGGCTCGCAAAATTTCAAAATCCCTGGTAGCCCTTCGGGCAGGCATTCTTCAGATTTTGGTAGCCCAAAAATGAATTTAACTAGCCCGAATAAAAGATATTGTATTTTTTCTTCAAATAACAAGTCAAGAGAGTAGGGGTGCAACGGATCACATGATGAACAAAAAAAAATATGGTTCTTTATTATTTAAGTACCACTTACTATTTAAAGAACAATTTACTACTTTGATACCACAGCAAAAACTAGTAGCATATAGGGATGTAACGACTCACTCAACTCACGATGTGATATGATTCACAATACTGATTTCACGATACAATTTTCTCACAATTTCTTTTTTAACAAAATGAGATTTAAGACAGATTTTAAAAAAGGTGTCCTTTTGTTATTTCTCAGACCAAAATGCTGCACATTACTTTGTGAAATTGAAAATGTCAAACAATATACTAACTTGAAATTTTAAAACAAATCCCAAATCAAATAAATAAGTAATACAAATAAAAGAAATTTCTCCATGCAAGTAAACAAAGGTTTCTGTGTATTTTAATCATGATCCAAACAATGATGCTGCATACATGCTGCATGAGCAGTGTTTACTCTAAATTAGATTTTATAATTTCGAAATTTGAAGCAAAAACACAATGGTCTGACTTAAACTGTGAAATCATAGCAAAAATAGAATGGACAGAAACAGCAGACGGGCTGAATGAGAAGCAAATGTCACTCTCTGACAGCAGGTGGCGCTTAAACAGCAGGTATTTATAGGCTGCTGCCCCTTTAAGACCGAATGCATGGATCCAATATAATGATGCAGGTGTGATTTCTTTCTCCACTGTTTACGTTCAAGACATGAAAATAATTGCCGAGATAGTTATTTTGAGATAATTTTGTGTGTATGTGTCCAATCAAGCGAAAGAAGAATCAATTCTGTGTTGGTGCTCTGCCTGAAATGCCGCTCTGTATGTGCGCGCGAGCACCGAACTGAATTCTTCATGCGCAGTTTTGGTTCCTTGCCACTGTTGCCTTTGGCTTGGTTAGTTGGGGACGCTTGACTGATTGCACAGACACTATTGGAAGAGAACTGAACTGGATGATGACATCAATGAACTGACTTTAGCTGAAAAATTACTCTGTTATTGTCTTCTTGCATCAGTGACAAACTATTTTCCTGTTTGACTCTGTAAAGCTGCTTTGACACAACCAGTATTGTATAAAGCGCTATACAAATAAAGGTGACTTGACTATGCCCGTAGACTAAACATGCTACATATCATCCAATAGAAAATAGCCAGGAGCAAAA